TTTTAATAATGATTTTCTTTTAAATTTAGCTTTTAAGTTCAAGGGTACATGCGCAGGTTTGTTGTATAGGTACAATTGTGTCACAGGGTTTTGTTGTACAGATCATTTAATCACCCAGGCATTAAGCCTCGTACCCAGCAGTTATTCTTCCTGATCCTTTCTGACCTCCCACCCTCCACCTTTCAATAGGCCCCAGTGTGTGTTGTTCTCCTTTGTGTTCATGTGTTCTCATCATTTAGCTTCTACTTACAAGTGAGAATATAACAGCATTTGGTTTTCTGTTTCCCCAGTATGTGTTGTTCTCCTCTATGTGTGCATGTGTTCTCCTCATTTAGCTTCTACTTACAAGTGAGAACATACAGTTTTTCGTTTTCTGTTTCTACATCAAACTTACATCAGTTTGCTAAGGATAGTAGCCTCTAGCTCCATCCATGTTTTTGCAAAGAACATTATCCTGTTCTTTTTTATGGCTACACAGTATTCTGTGGTGTATATATAACACATTTTCTTTATCTAGTCTACCACTGATGGGCAAGGTTGATTCCATGTCTTTGCTATTGCAAATAGGGCTGCAATGAAGTACGCATGCATGTGTCTTTATAATAAAATGATATATTATATTGGGTATATATCCAGTAATGGGATTGCTGGGTCAAATGGTATTTCTTTCTCTAGGTATCTGAAGAATCACCATACTGTCTTTCACAATGACTGAACTTTCACAATGACTGAAGTTACACTCACACCAACACTATATAATCGTCCCTTTTTCTCTGCAGCCTCACCAGCATCCGTTATTTTTTGACTTTTTAGTAATTGCTATCCGACTGGCATAAGATGGTATCTCATTGTGATTTTGATTTACATGTCTCTACTGATCAGTGATGTTGAGCTTGTTGGCTGCCAGCATGTCTTCTTTTGGAAAGTGTCTGCTCATAACCTTTGCCCATTTTTTAATGGGGTTGGGTTTTTCTTGTAAATTTAAGTTCCTTATAGATGCTAGATATTACACTTTTGTCAGATGCATAGTTTGCAAAAGTTTTCTCCCATTCTGTAAGTCATCTGCTCTCTCTGTTGACGGTTTCCTTTGCTGTGCAGAAGCTCTTTAGTTTAATTAGATCCCATTTGTCAATTTTTGCTTTTGTTGCAATTGCTTTTCGTGGCTTCCTCATAAAATCTTTGCCCGATCCTATGTCCAGAATAGTAATGCGTAGGTTGTCCTCCAGTTTTTATATTTTTGGGATTTACATTTAAGTCTTTTATCCATATTGAGTTAATTTTTGTACTTGGTATAGAGAAAGGGTTCAGTTTCACTCTTCTGCATATGCCTAGCCAGTTATCTCAACATCATTTATTGAATAAGGAATCCTTTCCCCATTGCTTGTTTTTGTCAGGTTTGTTGAAGATAGTTGCAGGTATGTGGCCTTATTTCTGGGTTCTTTATTCTGTTCTATTGGTCTATGTGTCTTTTCTTGTACCAGTAGCATGCTGTTTTGCTGTTTTGGTTTCCGTAACCCTGTAGTATAGTGTAATGCCTCCAGGTTTTTCTGGTGTATGTTGTGTGTGTGTGTGTGCGTGTGTGCGTGTGTGCGTGTGTGTGCGTGTGTGCGCATTTTCTTTTACTTAGGATTGCCTTGGCTATTCGGGCCCTTTTTTGTTTCATATCAATTTTTAAATAGTTTTTTCTAGTTCTGTGAAGAATGCCAATGGTAGCTTAATAGAAATAGCATTGCCTCTATAAGTTGCTTTTGCCAGTATGGTCATTTTAACAATATTGAGTCTTCGTATCCATGAGCATGGACTGTTTCTCCATTTGTTTGTATCATCTCTGACTTCTTTGAACAGTGTTTTGTAGTTCTCCTTGTAGAGATCTTTCAAGATAGTGCTATTTTGAAGGCAACAACTGCTCAAGGAAAGTCTAAACTAGAATAATGACCATTCTTTGAGAAACTATTCTCATGTATATCTTAAGCAGTTAAATTTGATAGCTGGCCATCTCACTGGTATAATTTGTTAAAATCTTTCATCTAAGACTTAGTGAAAGGGATTAAGGAATGAAATGTAATCCAGTCTTTAGAGCTGGACTCTGAACTAAACTAAAAAACATTAAGCACTCTCCTTACAGGCATGTATGACTCCACTTATTTCATCTATAAAATGGGACCAAAGGCAAAGGCTAGCAAAAGTCTCGGCCTTACTAACATATTCTCCGTCAGACTGGCCTAGATTAACTATATTTAAGCAATGAATGAAACTTCAAGAATCACAAAGACTAACTGTCATCAAAACCTGTTTAGGCCGGGCGCAGTGGCTCAAGCCTATAATCCCAGCACTTTGGGAGGCCGAGGCGGGTGGATCATGAGGTCAAGAGATCGAGACCATCCTGGTCAACACGGTGAAACCCCGTCTCTAATAAAAATACAAAAAATTAGCTGGGCATGGTGGCACGTGCCTGTAATCCCAGCTACTCAGGAGGCTGAGGCAGGAGAATTGCCTGAACCCAGGAGGTGGAGGTTGCGGTGAGCCGAGATCGCGCCATTGCACTCCAGCCTGGGTAACAAGAGCGAAACTCCGTCCCAAAAAAAAAAAAAAAAAAAAACCTGTTTAAAGCATCTGGAAAGTGCTGACAGCTACAGAGGCTAACAAATGTGGCTAGAGGTGACAGCCAGCACCATCTTATTATAGAGGCCATTCACAAAATACATGTTACCTAACACTTTGATGTTTTAGAACCATAAAACTTAGAGACACCTGCCTTATTACCTTACCCCTTATGCACTACTGCTAGTCATTACTTAATTGCAGCAACTGGCTATGTATTAGCTTTATGCTGAGTACTGTTCCTGTGTATTCGAGGCTCAGAACAACTCTTTACAATGGGTGTTAGTATTGCTACTTTACAGGGTTAAGTAACATCCCCAAGTTTACACAGCCAGTTAAATGCGGAAACCTGAATTCAAACCCTGGTATGTCTGAATCAGATGCCCATGGTTTTAACCTTACTGTGATGTTGCTTCTATGAGTAAAACAAGAGATGACTTAATTACCACACCTTAGCCTGAAAATCCTGCCGGTTTGAGTGTGGAAGAAATGCAGAGAGGGCATGTGGTAGGAAGAAGTTTGAGGAACACTTCCTCCTTATATAAGACAAGGTAATTCTGTAATTCTGAAACCATCCCAGAGATATGCATGCTTATCCTGGATAACTGAAGATCTCGCAGAGATTTCTACTCTAACTCATGTGCATTCCCAGATGCTGGCAGAAATCCGAGGGGCTATCGTTCATTGGTTATGTCTAATTCAAGCTTGTCCAACCTGCCTTATTTTGTTGTTGTTCTGCTTTGTTTTATTTTAGGCTTTTAGCAGCCTGAAACAATGGTTTTTAGTTTCTGTCTCTAGTGATAGGTGGAAAAGAGGGATAAAGAAGGGGTTTTACTGGCCCAATCAGAAACAGAACTAAGAACCCATGACTGTATTCTCTTCCCTTGAATACCCCTGGCTATTTCTTAACATCATAAGGTTCAGAAAATACTTCTGGATACTACCTACAGCTCTGGAAATCTGACATTCCTATACTAAGGCTTTAATGTAGTTCACAACTAACAAAGATTCCTGACATTCAAAATAAACATCGCTTTTCTTAATGTGGAATTACTTCTCCCAAACAGATCCTTCATATGAAGCATTTATGCCACCATAAAGATCCCAAAGCTCCTGCAGCTCATAAATATCGCCACCTGCCAGAATGCATGTGAGAAGAATATGGTCAAAGCCCATCTATGAGGATAAGAAACAATCATCATCATCATCATAACAACAGCCAATGTCCATCAAGTGCTTCCTAAATGCTTCTCTCTAACGTGTTATACATATGAATTCATTTGAACCTCACAATGATCCTTTCAAGTAAGAACCATTTTTAACCCCATTGTAGAGATGCAGAAGTGGAGACCAGAGATGTTAAATTACTTGCTTGCAGTCTCTGAGATAATAAATGGCATAGCTAGGATTCAAAACCAGGCAGTTGCCTCCAGAACCGGTGGCTCTCACCGCTCTCTGCTGCCTCTTGATATGGAACCACAGGGATCAGCTTCTGGTCTAAGCTGTGGAAAGGCTTCAAGGGCTAAACACAACAGCAATAGTCCTGTTACATAAGTAATTTCCTTCAGTCTTTGAATCACGCTGTAGGGAACATCAATGTGTCCACCCAGGGTTCAGCCATGGTCTACACCTTGCCCAACGTCATCCAGCTCAGAGAGAATGGCGTCTGCATCCACAGCCCCACACTGTGGGCCCTATGCAGTTTATACAGTGCTGCTGCATGCACTGTGACATTAGGTTTCCCAGCCTTCCCAGGACCTCTGGATAGGCTGATTAGATAATGTTGGATGGTTATGGCACCAATATTCATGCCAACTTACAGTAAACACAAGATACCAACTAGGCAGGGTGATGGGACATCTGTATTAGTCTCCTTTATGAACAGTAGCTGATCTATGTCAGGGGAAGACATACCACAGAGTTCATCAGCAGCTACCAGCAGGCAATTCCATTATGTTTAGAAAATTAAGAAGAATACAGAATGTTGCAACATGGATAAACTCTGAAAACATTATGACAAGTGAGAGAAGTCAGCCATAAAGGACCACATAATGTAGATTCTACTTACATAAAATGTCCAGAATACGAAAATCAGAGAGAGAGAAAGTTGACTGGTAGCCACCTAGATCTAGGGAGGTTGGGAGGACATGGGAAGTGGCTGCTGATAGATACAGGGTGGGGAGGTGATAAAAATGCTGTAAAATTGATTGTGGTAATGGCTGTACAACTCTGTGAATATATTAAGAATGATTAAATTATACGTTTTAAATGGGTGAACTATATGATATATAAATTTTTTCTCAATAAAGCTATCATAAAAAATAAAACAACACAGGAGCAAAGTCCCCACCCCACTGTGTCCAGCACCAACCCCACTTCTGTGAGTTACTGGTACTCACTTTGAAGCCTTCACGGAATCGTCTGCCCAGCCTCCTTCTCGGCAGCGAGGAAATTGGGGAGGGGAAGTCTACAAGTCAAAAGAACACAGTCGCTCAACATTTGCATTTATTTTATTTTATTTTTTATTTTCTATTGTTTGAGATGAAGTCTCTACTGTCACCCAGGTTGGAGTGCAGTGGCGCAATCTCCGCTCACTGGAACCTCCGCCTTCTGGGTTCAAGAGATTCTCACACCTCAGCCTCCCAAGTTGCTGGGATTACATGAATGAACCACCACGCACAGCTAATTTTTGTATTTTTAGTAGAGATGGGGTTTCACCATGTTGACCAGGCTGGTCTCAAACTCCTGACCTCAAGTGATCCGCCCACCTGGGCCTCCCAAAGTGCTGGGATTACAGGCGTGAGCCACCACACCCGGTCAACATTTGTGTTTAAACACCAATGGTTGAGGGTAAGGTCACCTACACCAATCAATATTCAGACTGCCTTTTGAATAAAAATACAGTAACCTTTGTAATTTGCTATGAAAATCTGGGTTCCTTCATACCCTCCTGGTGAGAAATTGGCACTATGCTTCTGGAGGGCTATTTGGTGATGTTTATTGAAAGCCTTAAAAATATTCAAACTTTTTTGATCTAGCAATCTCAGGAATTGATCTCAAGGAAAAAATCAGAGAGCAATATAATGTTATTTTTGAGAAGGAATAGCTGAAAACAACCAAAATTGCTAGCAATAAGGAATTAAGTAAATGGTAGAATGAAAATACTATGCAAATAACAAAAAAGAAGTTATAAGAAATACCTAATGATATAAGAAAGTTCAATACATTTTAATTTTCAAAAACATGTTACCAAACAGTAAGTATATGCTTTTGTCACATTTTTTGAAATAATTATCAATACATATTATTTAGTGTTAATGGGTTATATGTACATGACTGAGAGGGGGTTCCATGGCACTTTTAATTTTCCTTTTCTCTGCTGCTTTTAAATAAAAGTAATAAAATAAAGATATAAGAGTGAGACTTGCTTATTTGACATAAACTAAGTTGGTGGATGGATTAAAAATCTATTTAAGAGGCCCGCCCCAACCTCTGCCACCGCTGCCAGTGACCGAGCACACTGTCTAAGGAGCTTGGGGATTGACCTGCCCCCACTTCCCATCACCACTAGCACCCATGTATGCCATCTAGGGGCCTGAGGATACGCTGACCCCACCCACTGCCACCACTGCCAGAACGCACAAGACCCAGGGGCCTAGGATCGATCCACCCTGCCCACCACCACTGGTGCACATTTTCTGGGGTCCAAAGGACCATTTTGCCCTGTCTGCCACTCATGCATGGTCTGGGCGCCTGGGAATAGGCCTATCCTGCCTGCCAAAAAGAACAAAGCTGGAGACATCATTTGACTTCAAATTACTAAATGGCAGAAACAAGTCCTTGGCTATCAATAATAACCTTGAATGTAAATGGATTAAACTCCTCACTAAACTGGCTGAATGAATTAAAAAAACATCACTCTATGCTGTCTATAAGAAACTTACTTCACTTACAAAGACACACATAGACTGAAAGTGAAGGGTTGGAAAAAAAATTCCTGCAAGTAAAAACCAAAAGCAAGCTGGAGAAACTACACTTGCCTGAGATAACAGATCTTAAGTCAAAATTCGTAAAGGGAGGCTGAGGCAGGAGAATCACTTGAACCCAGGAGGCAGAGGCTGCAGTGAGCCGAGGTCACACCACTGCACTCTAGCCTGGAAACAGAGCAAAACACCATCTCAAAAAAAAAAAAAAAGTCATAAAGAAGGTCATTCTATAGTGATAAGGGGATCAATATAACAATTCTAAATATATATGTACCCAACACTGGAGCCTCCAGATAATAAAAAGCAAATATTATTAGACCTAATTAGACTCCAATGCAATAATAGTTGATGACTTCAACATCCAATTCTCAGTACTGGATAGATCATCTAGACAGAAAACCAATGAAGAAAACTGGGATTTAAACTGCACTTTAAACCAAATGAAACTAACAGACATTTACCGAACATACCATCCAACAGCCACAGAACACACATTCATCTCATCAGCACATGCAACATTCTCCAGGATAGACCTTAGGTTAGGCCACAAAAAAAATGTCAAGAAATTTTTAAAAGCTGAAATCATATCAAGTATCCTTCAGATGACAATGAAATAAAACTAGAAATCAATAACGAGGAATTATGGAAACTGTACAAATACATAGAAATTAAACAATATGCACCTGGACAACCATTGGACCAATGAAGAAATTAAGAAGAAAATTTAAAAATTTCTTGAAACAAATGAAAACAGAAACACAACATACCAAAATCTATGGGATACAGCAAAAGCAGAGCCAAGAGGGAAGTATAGCAATAAATACCTACACCGAAAAAAAAGGAAAGATTCCAAATGAACAAGCTTGTAACAACACACCTCAGGGAACTAGAAATGCTGGAACAAGCCAAACCCAAAATCACTAGAAGGAAAGAAATAATAAAGATCAGAGCAGAATTAAACAGAATAGAGACTTAAAAAAACACAAAGGATCAATGAAACAAAGGATCAATGAAACAAAAGATGATTTTTTGAAAAGATAAACAAAATTAGTAAACTGCTAGCTAGACAAACCAAGAAAAAAAGAGAGAAGACCCAAATAAATAAATGTAGAAATGAGAAAAGAGACATTACAACTGATACCACAGAAATGCAAAGGATCATAAGAGATTATTATGAACAGCTATATGCTAATAAATTGGAAAACCTAGAGGAAATGGATAAATTCCTGGACAATACAACCTACCAAGATTGAACCAGGAAGAAATAGAAAACCTGAACAGACCACTAACAAGTAATGAGACTGAATCAGTAATAAAAATAAAAAACCTCCCAAAAAAGAAAAGCGCAAGACTACATAGCTTTACTGCTAAATTCTACCAAATTTACAAAGAACTAACACCAACTTTTCTCAATCTACTCCCAAAAACTGAATGAGAGGAAGTTCTTCCCAACTCATTCTATAAGGCCAGTATTACTCTGACACAAAAACCAGATAAAGACACAAGCACAACCACTACCACCACAACTGTAGGCCAACATCCCTGATGAACACAGGATGCAAAAAATCCGCAGCAAAATACAAGCAAACTGAATCCAACAACACATCAAAAAGATAATACACCACAATCAAGTGGGATCTATCCCAGGGATGCAAGGATGGTTTGACATAAGCAAATCAATTAATGTAATATATCACACCAACAGAATGAGGGATAAAAACCATATTATCATCTTAACAGATACAGAAAAAACATTTGATATAATTGAACATTGCTTCATTATAAAAATTCTCGGCAAATCAGGCCTCAACTTAATAAAGGCCACATACGACAAACCCACAACTAACATCACACTTAAAGGAGAAACGCTGAACATTTTTCCTCTAAGAACTGGAACAAGACAAGGATGTCCACTTTCACCACTTTTATTCAACACAGTACTGTAAGTTCTAGCCAGAGTAATCAGGCAAGAGAAAGAAATAAAAGTCATCCAAATTGGAAGAGAGGAAGCAAAATTGTCCCTCTTTGCAGATGACATGATCTTATATATACAGAAACCTAAAGATTCCATCAAAAAATTCCTAGAACTAATAAATGAATTCAGAAAAGTTGCAGGATACGAAGTCAAAATACAAAAATCAGTAGTGTTTCTACATACCAATAACAAACTAGTTGAAAAATAAATCAGGAAGGTTATCCCATTTATAATAGCTACAAAAAACATACTTAGGAATATATATATCCAAAAAGGTGAAAGACTTCTACAATGAAAACTATAAAAAACTGATGAAAGAAACTGAAAAGGACACACACAAATAGAAAGATATTCCATGCTCGTGGATCAAAAGAGTTAATATTGTTAGAATAACTGTGCTACCCAAAGGAATCTACAGGTTCAATACAATGCTGTCAAAATACCCATGACATTCTTCACAGAAACAGAAAAACAATCCTAAAATTTATATGGAACCACAAAAGGGCCTGAATAGCCAAAGCAACACTGGGCAAAAAGAACAAAGCTGGAGGCGTCACACTATTTGACTTCAAAATATATAATACTCTAAAGCTATAGTAACCAAAACAGCATAATATTGGTATAAAAACAAACAGAAGCCGGACATGGTGGCTTGCTCCTGTAATCCCAGCACTTTGGGAGGCTGAGGCAGGTGGATCACCAGAGGTCACAAGTTCGAGACCAGTCTGGCCAACATGGCGAAACCCAGTCTCTACTAAGAATACAAAAACGAGCCAGGCATGGTAGCAGGTGCCTGTAATCCCAGCTACTCGGCTGAGCAGGAGAATCACTTGAACCCATTAAGTGGAGGTTGCAGCAAGCCAAGATTGCGCCATTGCAATCCAGCCTAAGCGACAAGAGCGAAACTCTGTCTCAAAAAAAAAATACATAGAAATAAAAATAAAAACAAATAGATTAATGGAAGAGAACAGAGAACCAAGGAATAAATCCATGTATTTTTAACCAACTAGAAAAAGACGCTAAGAACATATTAGGGGCCGGGCACGGTGGCTCAAGCCTGTAATCCCAGCACTTTGGGAGGCCGAGGCGGGTGGATCACAAGGTCAAGAGATCGAGACCATCCTGGTCCACATGGTGAAACCCCGTCTCTACTAAAAATATAAAAAAAAAAAAATTAGCTGGGCATGGTGGCACATGCCTGTAATCCCAGCTACTCAGGAGGCTGAGGCAGGAGAATTGCCTGAACCCAGGAGGCGGAGGCTGCGGTGAGCCAAGATCGCGCCATTGCACTCCAGCCTGGGTAACAAGAACAAAACTCCTTCTCAAAAAAAAAAAAAAAAAAA